ATCACATTGAACGCCTTTTTTTCCATAACAATTCTGCAATACGTAAAGATATTTTTACAGTAAAATTTTTTGAGTCAGCCCAGTAAACTTCATTCAATTTAACACATCCATTAAAAGATTTTTCACCAATAAATATTAAAGAAGATGGAAGGTTGATTGATTTTAATGATTTACAATTACTAAAACATTCTTCATAAAGGTGTTGTATTTTTTCAGGTAGGACAATGTGTTCTAAAGAATCACAAAATGAAAATGCATGATCTCCAATAGAAATTAAAGTATTTGGAAGTTCAATAGAAACTAAACTCTTACAATTCTCAAAGGCAGATTTTTGGATTGAAGTAATTCCATCAGGGAGTTTAATGTATTGAAGATTTCTACACCAAACAAAACAGCTCTCACTAATAGAATTAATACTATTAGGTAACTCAATAGATTTTAATTCATAACAGCACATAAAAACACCAGTTCCTAATATTTGAAGAGAGTTTCCAATGATTTGAATTTGATGTAATCGAGTGCATTTTGAAAAAGCTTTATTTCCAAGCTCTTTTACTGAAGTTGGTATTGTAATTTGTTGTATAGAAATAGAACTAAAACATTCATCACCAATTAAACTAACACCATCAGGAATATTATTTCCATACAACTCTCTATCACTAATTGTATACTCAATGTTTTTACATTTAATAATAAGTCTTGATATAAACCTAGATAAATGATATGAAACTAATCCTTTAAATATTCTTCCTTTTACACTAACATTAACTACACCACTACACCCTAAAAAACATGCTTTTCCTATATTTTCTAATTGAGATGGTAAAGTAATAGATGATAATGAAGTACATCCTTTAAAACATTCCTTTCCAATAATTTTTACTGTTGAAGGTATATTAATTTGCTTCAATTTTTTGCAGTCAGCAAATGCACGTTCAGATAAGCTAATAACATTACATAAATTAATTGATGTTAATAAATCACATTTCTCAAAAGCACTATTCCCTATTGAAATTAATGTTGGTGGTAAATCAATTGATTCAACCGTATTAGCATATAACCCTTGATCATTTATATGAGTAACACCATACCCAATAGTTACAGGACGTGATGTAGGTGCAGAATAACTGATAAATCTAAAGTCACAATTATCTTCTCTATGTTTTAAATAAAATGAATAATCTACTTTATATCGATACACATGATGTAATTTTGGATATAACTTATCATTAATACCATATAAGTGTTGTTCTTCTATTGTTTTAAACAATTTTATTTTAGTTATTGGATTAAACCGATACCCATCAACAAAATCTTTATAAATTTTATTAACCATCATTACTCTAATAAAATCTAATTCATCATTAAAATAAACCCCTATTCGTCTCATTTCACTTGCACCAAGATGTCCTTTTTTGGTTATTTCAATTTTCTGAACCGGAATCATTTCAATCATAGATTCTGTTTTAGTTGAAAATCCCGAAAATGTTGATGTGGAATCTGTTGATTCTTCGTTCATTTACTTTTTAAGTTTTATTTAATAAGAACTTTTTATTTTAGTAAAATTCTTTCAAATTATATTTTATGTTGTATTTAGTTTCTGGGGTATAAAAAATGTTTTTTATTTATGCTTTTTTCGTTTTCTGATCTTCTTTAAAATATCTTTGATATTATTTTCTCATGAACTCCCTTCTCAAAAGCATACCCGTCCATAAATCGATTTGTTTTTTTTTCTGTTAGTAATATTTATTAATCAAAATAAACTCATTTTGTCTCATAACTTAGTTCAAAAGTTAAAAAACACAAAAAAAAAAATAATTCTGTTATCAGAACTCAGAAGAACTTATACTATTCCAGATAATGAACGTCAAATTTCGGGATTTTTCTCTGAGTTTTACATAAAAATCTATTTTTAGGGTTTCTATTAAAAAGAGAAACTTAAAAAAGCATGTCACAAGAAAAGAAAGTGGAATCCTCAATCATTTTTGACAGAGAAAAAGAGTTTCAAATAGGAACTTTAGTTTCGATGATTGAAACAACAAGAAAGGAAATTGAAGAAAATAATCTTGAAATTAATCAAACAACTCCAAAAAAAATAAAACAACCAAAATCTCTCGTTGAAGAAAATCGTATTGAAAAGAAGAAAACTAACCAACCAATTGAAGAAAAAGAACAAAAATTAGACCAAGAAACTCAAAACCAGATTGAGAAAAAAGAATCAAATACAAACCAAGAAATTATTGAAGACAAAATTAGTGAAATTAAAGGTAATAAAGAAGTTCTTTCTAATACAATTAATTCACCTCAAAAAGATCAGAAACTAGAAATAAATGTAAAAGAGAACACAACGATAGCAAAGGAGGATTTAGATAAAAATAATACTATAAATATCTCACATGTTATTGACAATCTTAATGTTCCAAAGACTACTAAAGAAAACAAAGATTTAAGCCTTGTTGAAGAATCAAAGCAACAAATAAAGGAGGTTGAGACACCACAAGAACATAAAGTAACAAACAAAGAATTAGAAGTTAGTAGTATTTGTTCTAATGAAAAGAATGAAAATAAGAAAGTAGAATGTGTTGAAGAAGAAAAGAATAACATCAGTTTAGTTCCTGCAAATGATTTGGTTGACAAAAAAGAACCAAATAATATTATAAAAACTTTTTCATCTCAAGAACAAATTAAAGCATCTCAATGTAGGGAATCTCTTATTCATACTGAACGATTGATGGCTACTGTAAAAGACAATACACATCACCCAGAAGAAAAAGTTGTTTCAACAGTAAAGTATAATAAAATTGAGACACCAAGGAAAAGAGCATCCGTTAGCAGAATTACTTTACTGGAGGATTCAAAAAAAAATCAAAAACCAGAGTTTATTGTAATTAAAGAAGACGTCATTCCTCATAAGAAAGAGAGTATTACAAGAATTAGTGATGGAAGCAGATTTTCAGTCAAAAAATTAAGTTTTGATGAAAATGAACAAGAAGAAATTGAAAAAGAGAATTTACAACATAACTCACCTATAAAAGGAGTAAGTCAGATGGAAGAAATTCCAATTGAAATTCAAACACCAAATTGCAATAAGAATGAAGAGATATCAGGAATATCAAGTATCTCGAGATTATCCGATAAAATGAGAGAAGAAACGAAACCATCTAAAGGAGGTTTAATGTTAGACAAAAGTCGTTGTTCTGAATTTAAAAGAAAATTGTCTTTAGTTGGTAAAAAAATTGGAGAAGAAACAGAGCATCAAATTAAAAAACCTGTTCCTGCTATTTCTATTAATTTATTTAATTCAAGTATTTTACAACCAAGAGGAAAAAGAACAAAGACATTACCCTGTTTCAATTCTAACGGAAGATTATGTTCATTAGAAAAAGATATGGAAAAAGATGAACAATCTGCATACTCTTTATTGCAAAATACACACATAAATCTTAATCAGGACATGGAAGAAGATGAACTTGAAAATGAAATGGGATCAATACAACTTAACATAAGATTATCAAATTATAGAAATAGTAATATTTAAATGATGTCATAACTACTTTTGATTATATTTAATCCCCACAAACAAATGAAGAATAAAAATGATGGTATAAAGGAAGAAGTTAATTTATTTTTTGTTTGATTTTTTTATACGTAATATTAGTTTTAAAATAGATATTTAATTTTAATAACAATAATTTATTATTAAAGTATTTAGAATAAAATAAATAGTATAAAAAAGAATGAATTAATTTTTAGATTTAGATGAATAAAAATAGGCAAACTTTTATGGTTATCAAAAAAATAAAGTCATAAGAATAACTGTCTCATCATAATGTTATTTGTGAGAGTCATTACCATAACGATATTGTTTCATATATCATTAAATCACTATAGTATTATTTATCATTTTATTCGGTTTTCAGTAATTATTTTGATTCAATTAATCTGATAGGGATATATGTCAACAATTAATAAATTAAACATATAAAATAATAGAAGTAAGGAAAAAGCATAACTATCACAAATAAATAAAAAATAGACTAGATAAAATGTATTATTATGATAAGTTATATTTCGTTAAGCTCTAAAACATATTAAAATGAATGAAAATTAATAGAGATAAAAGAAGAAAGAATAAAATTGTTGAAAGCACTCATATTTATTTCATAAATGATTTGTATTCATTATTATTTGAAATCTCAGTTAATATTGTACTATTTAATCATAATATTTATTTTTCGTGATATAGTTACATTTCATTTAAATTGTATTTTACATCACAATCAATCCATATTTTTATTCTATTATTTATTTTATTCTATAAACTAAAGTTAAATAATTTATTTATTTCAAGTTGTTTATTATAATAACACTCTTTTTCAAATTGAATACATTGTTCTTTTGATATTATTAAATACAGTCCTATTTTCTTACAATATATTTATTTTATCTCTTCTATTTCTTTATTTTTTTAAATACTTGAAAGAGAGTATATCATTTTCCATCATTCTTAGTTATAAAAATATCGTATCACTATTAAATATTGATCTCATTCTTCTTTCCTTATTGACGCTCACCCATTTCAAATGATTATTCAAATATAACTTGTTGTAATTTTTATAATATTTTGTGGTGTCATGATAATTTCTTCTAACTCCATTAATAAAAAGAAATAATTTTATTATTTCAACATTTATTTTAATTATTTTTGTTTTAATTTATTTCTATTATTGTTTTCTTTGATTTTTATTTTGATCTTATTTTCTAGTTTATTTTTTATATTCCTTCCTTTAAATTCTAACTATATTTTAATATTCATTATTTTCATGTTCTTTTGTTTATATTTGTTATTTATATTTATTGTAAATAATATTAATTTTAGTTGAAATAATCAAAGGTGATATGTTTCCTTCATACAACGCTTATTAAATAACTGAATATTCCATCTTATCAAATTTCAAATAAGAATTTTACACATAAAAACAACAGTGATTTTCTTTTCTTTTATTTTTCTATTCTTTATTGTCATACATCTTTTTTTCTTTTGCTTTATTACTTATTTCATTAAATTTTATTTATCTCATTTTCTTGTGTTCTTATTCTTGTTTATATTTTATACCTCTTCTTATATAAAAAGCTTGTTCATTGTGAATATCCTATTCAATTATTTATTTCTTCTTCTGGTTTTTCTTCTTTACTTTCTTCAACTTCTTCTCCTTCTGAAAAGACTTTCAAGTTTCTTTGTCTTTGTAAGTAGACATACACTGCATAAACAATGATAACAACAACAATCACAATCAAAGCTATGACAAAAATGACTATAACTCCAATTGTCCATTTAGGGAATTCCGTATTTTTAACATATCCTGCAAGTCTATCTTCTGGACATGCAATGTCTTTATCTTCAAGATTGGTTAATACTATTCCATGACATGCTGCTTTGAATTGATATGAATTTCCTTTTTCTTTTCTACTTATTTTGTTACTTGAAATTTTGTTTATTTGATATTCTTCTACTTTTATTTCATTTTCTTTTGGTAATCTCATGATTACTAACAATGTTTTACTTCCTGTTTCCTCATAATAAACATTGATAATACTCTTCTTTAATGTTGTCATTGTTTTTCCTCCAACATCATCTCCAATATTTAAATTAGCACTATTGTTGTTTATTGGCTTGATTGTAATTATTGTATCTGTAAAATCAACATCATTACTCATAATATCAATATACGTGTGTTCTATATCAATCTTTTGTTCTTTAAAACTACTTTCTTTGTTGATTTTCAAATATCCATTTGAAGTAACTTCTAAATTAACTCCTTGAATTCTTTCAATTGTTAATTCCCCTGTATCAATAACAACATTTGAATATGTTCCATTACCCAATATTTCTTCTATATAACTTTTCTCTTTATTATTACTTTTAAGTGTCATTACAACTTCTTTGTTTTTATCTCCTTTAATGTTCATTTCTTTTATACTGCAATTACTCATAATAAGTGTTGATGTTCCTAAAACATCCACTCGACTAATATTC